CGCGATTCCACAAAGTATCTCTGAAATTGTGCATGTGGTTTTATTAGGTAATCTTCTTTAGTTAATTTGAACCATTCTTCAAAATTAAATGCTATTATTTCTTTACCTATACAGTTCAAAAAGTGATTCTATATCAAGTTGTAAAAATACTAAAATGTAATATGAATCTATAGCGTGCATTGTTGCCCATTATTTGAGTGAACTCGTAATTACGAAAGACTTTTCTTATCAAACTCTGAATATAATGCACTTGTACAATTTGTAGTTATCTGAAACTTATGTACGTTTCCAATTAGTCCATCATGATAATAGAAATCTATTAATTTCGATTTCCTCGGTCTGCGGTATCGTCCGAGACACACAAATTTTATCAAAGAAAAGCAATATCTTCGTGATTTCTTAATGATAATAAATAAAACTAAATTATATCATTTTGTTGTGAAATAACTATTATGATTATCTTTTTCAATAAAAATATTATCTTTTTCTTTGACATGGTTGCTCTTTTTATGGGTCATTAGGATACATAAAGAAACTGCGTTTCGTGCTACAAAATATCGTCGTTATCCCTATACAGCCCGACCTCGTCACAACCACACGGCATTGAGGAAATCGTCCTGATTCAATGGCGAGTGGTTCACGGTGAATCGAAAGCACGTTCGTTGCCGCGTAGCCTTTTATAGTTGCATACGTGAACCGAACTGAAATATCTTCCGGGAATATTGCTTAAGCGTTCTTTGATATCAATTTCTGAGGACACTCAAGTCACAGCACGGTTGAATCACGTATTTTCTAACTAAAAACTAGAAAAATTGTATTAAATATTAATTTTTCAATTGCAAAGAAGCAGAGCTCAATAATGCGTGACAATTAGAATGTATAAATAAATTAAAGAAAAATTACAACTTCCTATCTCTCTTCGAAGTTTATACAACCGGAACAAATCACATTGATTTAAGATAAACATTCTGACCGAATAAGTAACATTTACTTCGCCAGTCAATAATTAACACAATTAAGAATTTAATTGACTATACTGGCATAATCGTGGTAACGATTATAATCATTGCCAGTATAATCAATTAAATTCTTAATTGTGATAAACATTCTGATTTAAGATAAAAATCTTAAGATAAAATCATACTAATTTATACCAGGAACACCATGCAGGAAAACATGAGAAGAATAATACTCGCGTTATCGCGTATATTCGACTGATCTATAGTGATGGAATAACCAGGAAATATAATTTCCTGATCATGCGATTCTTGAATCTCTAATGTTTCCGACTGATAGTGATTCTATTTTGCCTTTTATGGTTATCTACAGATAATAGAAGCAATTGCAGATGGAGAAAAATGTGGACAAGTTTAAATATTCGTCTGACGTGTTTGTAAATGTGATTTATTTTTTCTCTTTTGCACACTTTTTGCTCACAAGTAAAATGCCGAAACTGCTGTCATGTACGATGAACGACACGTATTAATCATTTATCTCTTTTATCATCTCTTTTATCACACTATATTATTCATCGCGTTGATAAAGAGCTTATTATGTGGAACTATCGCGTGTGTTTTTCTCTTTCTCGGAATAAAAAAGGCAAAGTGGTAAAGAGAATAAATCGATACATTTGGCACGAACTGGCTCTTCCACTCGGACTTTATGCATCCGGTACAAAGTCAAATAAAAGTATCGAGACGGGAGGAAGATTCAGTGCCTAGCGCGGCAAGATAATGCCACCGAAGAATATTTTAAATTGACAGTATTTTTTTAAACACTTCGTATAAATGTTTCTCAAATAATGTACTTTTCACAGAGTTCAGAGAAATTTTATAAAAACAAAACAAATTAATATCTAATGTTATTACTCTCTTTTTGTCTAAATAAAATAATTTCTCTTGTAAATTTCGATTTATAGTAATACGTAATTTTCAAAAATTATAAATTAAATCTAAAATACATTTTAGATTGGTTTTTCTTTAATAGAAACATGTTTGTTATTTAGAGCGATTTAATTTTAGACGTAAAATATTTTGTTAGAAAAAACTCAGGTTCCTGTATAATATTAATTAATGGAACGTTCAGGAATACGTAGTTATTAATATAAATAACAACGTAGTATAGGATGCAACGTAGCAACTTGATGTACGCATTTCGCTTCGCAGTTTTACAGTTTGCACTTTGATCATTATCATGCACTCGCCTGCTTTCACAACCAGACTCGACGGTGGCACATGACTCGCGCTTATTCTTGCATGTAAAAATAGATCATCTGGGTGGACACTGACCTTGCGCTATTGTGTAATGGCATAATCCGAAAGATGCGAAATAATAATAGCGCCGGTCGAATTACGTCGCATACCTACATTGTAGTGCATCACACGAGAGAATGAGAACGTCAGATTTCGCGCAGTATATGAAAATATCTTTTTAATTCGAAGAGAAATAAAATCAAAGAGTTCAAGCTAAAATCAATATGTTAATGAACATTTCGAAAATATGAAGCAAAGGAATGTGTTCGAAAATATGAAACAAAATTGTTTAATTTCGATAACAGTAATATGGGCGGAATGATATTGGACAGCGTGCGATAAGAAACTATGAACATAATTAATTGCACTGACTTTGCCATCGTGACCAGCAACCTGGCTGCTCTTTGATTTCCCTTGGTTATTCGTTATTTCGTTAACATGTGTGTAACAGATTTCAAGTTCTTTATATAATCAATCTTTATTTACTTATTTTTATTAAAATCATTGTGCAAGCTTGCACAAAGATTTATATGTTTATCGCGTTGGTTAAGGAATACATTATAATTGCATTTTAATGTAATACATAAATAAATTAATAAAATTGAATAAATAATATAAATAATGTATTTAAATATAAATAAAATAAATAATATAATATAGTAAATTATAAAAATATCTATTCTACCTGTGCTAAATAAAATAAACTTTAAAAACACTAGGTAATTCGGGGATTTTTCAAACAAAATATAGATTTCGTATCTAAGATAAGTGGAAGAGTGATAAAGGCCACTTAATACTTTTAAAACATGCTTCGTTTGCACTCGAGCAATCACATGACTTAATGGCGCAATTTACAAAGAATTTATCGATTTTCTCGCTGGATATGTCTTCACGAGCCTCGTGGAAAGTTTCGTGTGAAAGTCATTGAGACAGATGCCGGCCGAAATCGTTCAGAGTGTTCTGACCGATTGACGTAGATCCGAACGATAACGCCTAAAAATATACGGTGAGGTCACTCGTACAGTACATTCTGTCGACACTGTCGACAGTCAACAACCGAGTTGCGTTACGAGCGAGCGACGCGACGTACGAATTAATTCTATGCGCGATACGCGATACGCGAAACGCGTTGAGTGGCGAGCAGTGCCAAGGGAATTCCGCGACTAGCCCGCGACGCGACGCGAACGAATCGGCGCGATATCTTTGCGACCGGAATTTGCATTCGACTACCGGCGGTTTCCAGGTCACGTTGGCGTACGGCTGAAGGATGGAATCGGAAATGAGGATGACTCAAGTGCGATTTCTGTCGTTCGTGTAATTTTACGGCGATCGGAATACGCTTTCGAAAAGCACTTTGCAACTCCGGAGGTGCTACGGAGTTTCTGTGATTAAAGGGAGTAACGCGAAATATATATGAGTGACGTAGCGTAACGCGGATAGATATTTCTCGATTTCTTGAAACTTGAGGCATGTTAATGTTTAACTTTGAATTAATTCAAAGGCTAACCATGCATTCATATTAAATGATTAACATGGAGTTGCACGTTGCTCGTAATTAATCGGTAATTTATCGACGATGATGTGACATGATTATAATCGTTGAAGACAATGAGACATCTCGTGACAATCTGCGAACGCGAAGAAACTTTTTGAAAAATTTCACTAGCTCCGTATCGAGAAACTACAACTCTGAGTTAATCTTTATTTTTCTCACCACATTTGTTGCGCTCTAACATTCGTGGAATTTAAATTTATTTTACCCTGGCTGAGGTAATATTTTTCGCAATAAATTTAATAATTTAATTTAATAAAAATAAGATGCTTATATGTAAGTGTCAAAGATTATATATCAATTTAGAAACGACCAAAACCAATGGTCGAATTGTCACGACACTAGCCAAACGTCGATTATAAAAATAGAGTCCTTCTCATTAATCAATTATTGGCGAAACAAATATATACTTTTCTGTTAATTTATTTTAGTTGCGGAAATTGCGTAAATTGCAATGTCCTAGCGTGAGATTTTTGCATAAGAAAGCCGATCGTAAGGAAAACTCGAATCGCAGCTGACTCCGGGATTCCTCGAACGCGTATTTTATTCTGTTGACGTACGCGTTAACAGCATGCAAGGAGACTTCAACGATCCTATGCAGGGATCGTTTCGCGTTAATCTGCAACGCTAACAATTGCGAATAAACGCGGCAAGGAAGAAACAAGTTTCGCACAAGTTCAAATAAGGAAAGAGGATGAAAAAAGTTCCTTGCAATGATTGGAATAGCATGCGTGATTCACGAGTGAAATTCGGTGAACGCTTTTGCCCGTTGCACACGAAGGAATCGGGAAGTATATCGCGACGATCGCGCGACGCAATAAAATGGTTTACGACGATAAGATAACGTTCCCGGCACCAAAATGATCAACGTCACGTCCTATAGCTTGACGTGTCGAGGGATTCTCGGCGAAGTCGGAGCCATCTTGAGTGACCGATCGCGTTGCCGATCGGCCCGATCTTGCATCGTCAGCCAAGTACAGGAAGGCGTCCTGCGTTCGCTCCGTTCGCGTTCGAACACTCACCTGGTCCGCGGGACCGTTGTCGACTTTCCCAAAGTAAAACGACGATCCACTCGCAAAGGCGCACGATCACGCGGCGCAATATGCGCAGGCAGGACAATCGGTTTCACGTTCGTTTATTGCGCACGGCGGAATTTCTGAACTAAGTTCGAGCCGAGCGAGCTATTCGAGGCGTACCTTTCCTCGAAGAGATGGAACGAGCGTTGGAGCGTGGGGCCCCAGGGTCGGGCGCGCCGATTGGTCGGGCGCTGGTCCCCGATCCGGTGGAGGGTCGCAGGTAAAAATTGTACGATAGGCAGGTGAGGCACCGATACGCCACCTGGAATCAGAGGAACTCGGGCTCGCGGCACTCTCTGAGCTGAGTGGGCTGAGAGATTGTTGGAGAACGCGCCGTGGTTGCCGATCGACTGCGTGGGCGTCGATGCGACGGACGGCGAGAGGCTACGGTCGAACGCTGAAAGGAAGTGCGTGGACGATGCGAATGAGCGTAAACGAGCGGCGACACAGTGTTGAACAGGTCGTGGCGAGATTCTGTTTACGGAGACTCGCGGTTCTGAATGACGCTCAGCCAATGATATTTTGGTTGGCAGATTTCGGAGCGGAGACAGCGGAGTAGATAATTAGACAGATATACGGATGGAAGATGTATTTTTAAATTCGGGGACACTTCTTCAGACGTCATCAACGTGACGTTGAAAA